CTTCATTGTTGAAATTCAGCATTATCCTCTCACAGGAAAGGTCTCCATGCTACACTTTCTGAGTCATGCAGGCCAATTATCGTTCTGAAATTGGCTAATTGTCTCTACTGAATACTATTGTAGGGTTTGTTGACAACTCTGTTTGTTTCTATTATTCCTAGCGAAGTTTGTGAGTATGGCTCATCCCCCAATACTTGAAAGGCAAATATTGGAAGATCGCAATCAATGGTAGGTCCAGACATTTCTTAACATTATCCTTTCTCATGGGCGGAGGTGGTATACTGGCAAGTGGCGCACTATCTCACAGCATGGTCACGGTTCAATACCGAGTTCCTATCCGCCTGAACCAATCAAGCCTTCCATCCCTTAGGGATCGGTTCATTAGTACAAGACTCGTCCGAGAAGGTAAAAGCAGTGATCTGTGGATCGGGGGGCCATTGCAAGTCATTGTATAGGCCGCATGCGCATTCATCACGCCACTACGAACTGAATGGCAGTCGAATGCAGGGCGCTCTCACCGGACGGGGTTGATCACCGCCAAAAGCCTTAGACAATCCTTGTTTATTTAGCGCTTCAGAGCAATTAATTAGGCTCTATCTCCGTCAAGTGCTATCTCTTCCAAGGATGATTCAGATTGTTATTTATATCAAATTCACTTGTTTCAATCCTTGAAACGGAGTCGCCCCATTAAAAGATGTTTTGGTGTTGAAAGTCAGGTTTTTCATTTCCTAAAGAGGAGATTTTCCGCGTATCTGTCGGATTCGGGCCCTTGATTGATTTCATTCGATGTCAGCCGGAGAAGAAATGATGATCTAACGAATATCTGTCGCAAAGTACGATTTATCAGCGCTACGTGATCATCATACACTCAGATTCATTTTCACTTGATCATTTCGCGTTCCTCGAATCTACCGTAATGCTTCGCATGCTTTTGTTCCATACAAAAAACCCTGCCACATTTTCTTCATGTCAATCTGCCATCCGATGAAATACCTCTTGAAAATGATTAATTTTCCATGATTAGGTCATCTACGACAAGGGATGGACCCCAGGGAGAGATCATAACAAGCGAGAAGCCTGTAACCTCCAGCTCTTGCCCATGCCGTCTTTCTTTCAATCGTTTTACGTGATCATCTTGTTAGCTGCCGATCGCGATCCGGAAGTGACCGTTAAGCGCGAGTACGGGTTCGAGTCACATCCCAGGCCGGAGTTTTGCCCACAGCTACCTTTCATTCCTTTCGCTTTATAATTCCTCAGACGTTAGAAGTTTCTGAACCTTTGTTTTTGCATCTTCTCACTTTTCAGTGAAACTGAAAATTCCACTCAGTAGACTTGTTTACTTTTATGTGACCCCAATTTTGTGGTTATTTGGTCTACAAAGAAAACATGGGACGCAAGACGTGCAATAAAATGGCTTGTAATTTCCGGCTGGCTTGTATAGTCACAAAATTTCAGAAGTACTGATATATGAAGACACTTTGACGGAGTGCACCCAAGCCGTTTAGCGGACTGGTTCGTCCGCTGCCCTTAACGGCTCGGGTGGAATCCGATCTGTTGACGAAACTTAGGACTTTGGATGCTCCATAAATATTTTATGGCATTCTATCGATTAGAGCCATACCTACAGTAATCTCTGAGAGACTATGAAACCTGCTAATTGAATTATGCTTAGCATGAAATCTCGTCCGAAATAGTGCATATGAAATACTTCAAGGATCAGCTCAGAAAGAGCGAAGAAAAGTCAAAAAACCTTCATCACTTTATGCTCATCAACTGACTGACTATTAAATGGATATATGGGCATCAGAACCTGAGTCGGATCCGGTATTCTTCCAAGGCCCGCTATAGCTGAATCTGCTCCAACCATTCCTGTTGAAACCATGTTTGCCTAGCCCATATTGGTTACCGTGATCGCTATATTCAACATAGAACTGAAACTGACAGATGGTGTGAGTGAAAACCGTTAACGTCTCTGTCTTACTGAGAATATTGGATTTCTACCTTTTTGTAAGCGCTGTTGTCCTCGTTGTAGCGTATGCCGTAGACGAAGTAGCTTCTTTCGATTGCATCTCCATCGCTTCCATCGGGATACTTCGAATCATGCTCCAACTTATCGTATCCTGCCAATCTATCGCAATAATTTGTTCTTATTCATATGACTGCATGAGCTTACCGGAAGATCCATGGTACCCTCTCTGGTATGTATCTTCCGGACCAGAGGCGATCGCAAAATATGAGAACCTCTTCGTGTTCTCCACATCTGCATATATGAATGTGGTCATTCAGTCCACAGGACAAAAAAGGCCTTTTTTCTCACCTGATCCGGTGCGTTCCTCACTTTCGTACCGATCACTACTGTAACCATAGGGCAGGTCTATATCGCTGTGATTCCGTCCTGTTGCGTGCTCAAGACTTCCTCAAAGACACCACGTTAAACTTAGGCATTACCCTCTTTTGGAAAACAGCTTGTTTACCCCAGTTATCCTTCTTTTCAGGTCTGTTTTTCTGCAATTTCAAGGCCATCACTTTATTACATAAACTTCACAACCCTTTGTATATGTAGATCACTTCGAGCTACGGTAGTCATATTACTGGACTCGATGGAAACTTTGAAGAATCTTGAACCGGCAACTAGGTTTGGCCACATTTCGCTATTGCAATTGCCTTAAAAATATCTCTTTCCCAATCCGTAGGAACCACCAGCTGTTTTCTAACAACGCTTAGGGGGGATACTTATACTGAAACGTTCGCTGATACTTTCTTTTACTCAAGTCGAGATGATAACGTGATGAAGATGAGAACTTCCCTACAGTTTAGTGAGACGTCTTCCTTCACTTGTTCGGATAACCTTAAGTAGGAAGAAGAAGGAAGCGGAAGAAAATGTTCCCGAAGCGGCTCGCTCTTCACACTCCTACTACAAATGGGTGAGCTGACCGTACTGGAATAGAAACGGAGACAACACCGTTCAAAACATGAGGGTGAATGCTGGGAGGACAAACGTTCGCTATGATGCAGTACCGTTAAAGAAAGGGGCTTCGCGAGAATCATTCAATTCTGAGAGCTCTTGCTTCAAAGTTTGAATGGAAGTAAGCAGCGAATATTTTGAAGCATTTCATCTGGAGAATGATTTCAAAATTGATTTCGTTCAACTTCAGAAGGAACAATGCCACAACGAGATTTTTCCTTAATAGCATTGGTAGATTCAGTAGTACGGTTTCTGAGATTTCTTTCATGACGGACCTGTACCCACCACGACCACCATGAATAGAACGTGGGACATTGCTGTGTCGAAAAACGACTTCTACAGGGCGTTACATGAGCGCCAAAATCGACGTGTACACCCAAAAGTGGCCGTGTTATGACGGCCTGTCAAGGTTGTACCATACACAATCAAGCTTTAGGAAGCCGACGAATAGTACGTTTCTGTAGGAGACATCCAGACGATCACGCAAACATAATCTCATGCAATCTTTTTTCTTAGTCCTCATTCGAACGCTTATATTTCTTGGAATTTGCCAACTTTCGCGCTTTCTCCACCATTTTTGCGCTATTTTGGTGCATAGCTTCCATCATCTCACTAAAACTAAGTACCTTAGGATTATCGTGAAGTGTGCCTGTAGAACTGGGTTTTGTTTCCCAAGGTGTCAATCAAAATGTCTTCTGAGGCTTTTGGAAATTGATGCGTCTCACCATGTCTCGGCTGGAAGTAAACTTTGTGTCGATGGTCGAGAACGTGCTTTATTTCGGAGTAGTCGTTACCATATCCATAGTAAGTGATTTCGACATCTTCATAACTGGCCTCCTTGAAAACATAATGACCTCCTACGATCATCTGAGGAACTTGAATAGCTGCACTATTTGGCCACCAAATACTTCCACTTACAGGTAATCTGTGATGAATTTCTCGTTGGTCAGGATTTCCTTCATCAGCATAATATTTTTCGCCACAGTCGGGTCGTATAATTGTAGAGATTGTAGCTTCGAGCAGAAAATAAACTGTCATGAGTGTGAGACTCATTTTGAATAGGACAGAACAACTGAGCTCATGTAGGGAGGAATGCAGTGGGAAATCTTGAAGAGTGCAATTTATACGCCATGCTTGTGAAGCCGTATCTATAAGTTTCCCATGCAAATAGTACAGTTTTTGCCCACTCCGTGACAAGTACTCTTGTTAGAAAAACTGGTAAATGGTGGGATGCATCGCACGATGGATGAGATGTACGATTTTCACTCGGATTTATGTGCGACGCTAGGATGGGTAGGTAGCTACCAAGATATTTCATTAGCTCAGCCTTTAATCATCTTCTTAGTGAAGGTTGATTATGGGTCATCACTGAAGGCGATCTTGTGCTCTGGGTACTTAGTCACTGAAGCTTTCATACCGCTACCTCTTGACGAACGAAGTTGATGTGACGGCAAGTGGCCAGCGATCACTCATACATGGTCCGGGGTCCCTACATACGTTCCCGAATTGATATCCGCCTAGATCAGTCAAGTCTTCATCTCCAAAAAGCCGATAGGTTAACTGGTATCAGGTCTGTAAGGGTAGATGAAAGGATAAAAGGCCTACGGAACGCCACTATGTTTCCAAATTAAAGCCAAATTTGGGTGCGTCCCAGAAACGAACCTCATTAACGCAATACGACCTTATCTCAAGACCTTCACAGCTGTAGTGATCAATGAAAACAACTGTGGAGAGAGTAGCCTTTCAATAAGAATTCTCAAGCAGGTATTGAAAAACTCAATACGCTTAACATCTTCTCCACATCTCCAGCATAAATCCCGCACTCGTGCCCACTCCCTTCTATCTGTGGCATCTTCTGCTGTCACCTTTTCTTCGGAAATGCCCTCCATGATCACGCTTCTTCATCTTTTCGATGGAGCTGATCATTTTCGCTAATTTGAGCTTCGAACTCCATCACATCTTCAAATCGATTTTGATCTTTTCCCTTCTCGGTACGGGTCCGCACTATTGCATACGCTTTTCTCTGTTACTCAGCTGGAGGAAGTTGTCTGCAGGACCATCCGCGTACTACTGCGTACTTACTATGCAGAAATATCAATACACTTACTTCTGCAGAATGAAGTAGTCTTTTAATGGCCTAATCCAAGTCGGTTGAGTGGGAGATTCACGCATAAAGTGGGAAGAATAAAAATTGTGCAGAAGGTCATATCAAATGGGTAGTGTTCCGGAAGCACTGGGTTCAAGCCACTTCCGGTGGATGTTGGAGGAGAGACGTTTCAAGACATTGTTCGGTGCTTCTGTAATGGGGGGTGTACCTCAACTGCTCTTCAAAGCCATAGGCTTGTGCTTCAGTAAACAGTCAACCTCGTTCATAATTGAAGTAATCAACGCACTTGTAGCTACATAGTTAGGAACGATTAGCGAGTTATCATAAACAAAGGGCACTTGAACAGCACTGCATCTGGTTCAGACTTACCATTTCCTTCTCTGCAGACTACAAACACTTTCCCTCTTCCTCTCCGAACTGTGAGTTTCAGACCTTTCGAGGAGTTTCCCTTCTAATCTTCGGTAAGGTGAAGATCGCTAGAAACACGAACTCCACTTTCTTCTGGCAAACCCCAGAAAGTATACAGAGGGGCGAACCTGCAACGATTATTTGTGTTTTTCTGCTCAGAACTTATCAGCTTCCATCGTGAGTCTCGATAAACCGTGAAACTGTTCGTCAACAAAGATGTTTTCGCTCCACAATGGCAGTTGACAGTTGTATCGGCTTTGTCATTATCAACACTTCTTTTTTGGTTTCTCTCTAATTTTTTTTCAGAATCACCTTCCGGAATGACACATAGAAGGAAATCTGACCTCAACCATAACTTCCCTGCTTTTGAAAACTTTTCGCGAATTCTACCCGGCGAGGAAAGGATACACGAGAATATTTTCGTTGAAAGTGAGAGTTGACTTCAATTAATCTTGCCAAGACTTCAAAAACTGCATTGTCCTGAGGCAAGCAACGAATAGTTATAAATAGGTTCCTCGACTATGCCCCCTTCTTACCGAAAGATCTGGGGTAAGGCGCACCAGTCTATAAAATCAGTTTGAGTCTGCTATCAGTAAGGTATTGAATTCACGCCTAAACCGCTATTTTTGTCTTTTTTCATAAATCGGGTCGTGCCTAAGCNACACGAGAATATTTTCGTTGAAAGTGAGAGTTGACTTCGATTAATCTTCACAAGACTTCAAAAATTGCATTGTCCTGAGGCAAGCAACGAACAGTTATAATAGGTTCCTCGACTATGCCCTCATTTTACCGATCGAGTAGAAAGATCTGGGGTAAGGCGCACCAGCTATAAAATCAGTTGGAATCTGCTATCAGTAAGGTATTGAATTCACGCCTAAACCGCTATTTTTGTCTTTTTTCATAAATCGGGTCGTGCCTAAGCTTTCTTGCAGATGGATGAGTCGTTAGACTCTCAACAGTTTAGTCTGAGTATTTGAAAATTTTCGGTTTTTCCATTTTATTTCTGCCAGAAAGAAAGGGTGTTTCAACACAGTTATGAATAAACAAAAAATAGATCAAATCATTAAACAAGAAGATAAAGAGTTAGACAAATAAGTGAATATCTAGGGGACTCAGAAAATAGAGGTCTGACTACGTACTTTGGCTTTAATTTGAATATAAACACTAGCATGAGTTGAAGTTTGCAAATAGCCACTGAAGTTTGTAAATAGCTCTGAGATCTTCAGATGATAGTCATCTTCTTTTTCAACAATGAAATATAGCCGGTGCAATCAGAATGATGCTTTACAGAGCCGATAACCGGACCACCAGATGAAACGGTTGCAACAGTCTACGATGTCGTCAAGAGAGCTGCTTCCATCACCTCCAATGGTCCTTTTCTTGGAGAATTGTGTGGCACCGAAGTGGTTTGGAAAACCTACGAGACCGTAAGTTTCTCTTGCTGGAGCAGTTTCCCTTGTGCCCGGATTGAGCAAGAGGTTTCTGTTCTCCAATCTGCACGACAGAGTACTAAAGTGTTCATGTCTCATGTCTTAAAAAAGGGCATGCACATTTCTCTAGTAACTAACGATGTTGATCTGCCTAAAAAAGCGATGCTTTATGTTTGCGATAAGCTTGGTACTTACAAACTGATAAAAAAATGAATTATTGCCTCAAAAAAATATAGTTCGTTAAACTACATGTCGTGTAGCACCTTTAACCCTGAGCTACATCCATCTATCGGATCCTATTTTTTTTNTTTTTTTTGTGGAAGTTTTCAGGATTTTTCGTAGGGCCTAGGTGGGGTAGCATCAAGTGACAGAGCACCCACACTGGCCTCAAATTCCGCTTCCGGACCTCAAACCTTCTATACCTCCCAATTCGATTGATTGGTATCAGACCTAACTGGGATATTAACAGAGAGAGACTTTGCTCTTTGGTCAAAACTGACGCACTGGCAGGTCGAGCAGTACCGCTCCTTTGCATTAATATTTGGTCATAGATCGTATCCCAAGAGGTCTAGACACGCTATTTTCCCCATCCGAGTAGTGGCTATCAGTTTCGACTAAGGGGTGAGGTAGCTTTGACGATAAGTTCATCTTCTGAACTTCTCAGTTTATTGTACTAGTATATACATACATTTGGAAGTCTCTGCGAGCCGAAAACAGTGGTCAGTCTTGCAATTTTCTCCTAATTTTTGATGCTTCCATCCATCGGTGCGATTCTAAATTCTTTGAGCCTTCAGGTCCTGCACGATGCGCAGATACTCGGCTCGGCTCTTTTGCAACTTGGTCTTAAGCCGGGTGAAAACACTCGTGTAGGAATTGCCGGTATTCATTCAGTGAGGTACCGCTTGTGATTTTCCAAAAGTTTTCACTTTTTCTGAAAAACCTCGACTATCGGCTTCCGATACTTTACTAGATTCCGAGCTTCTCTGGTTAGATACAAATGCGTTCGCATGAGTGCATTTCAGGAAAGTAATAAGTTTTCTTTTCAGGTACATGACTACATTGCATGCGTTGGTTTCTTACAGTATGGTGCTGGTTCCTCTCTACCATAACTCAAAACTTGAAGTCCTCTGGTACGTTTGATGTCATATTCCTTTGTACCTCCTTTTATGACCCCCCAAAATCCAAAATTTATGGTGTGGTAGAGGAAGAAATTAAAGTCTACCAATTCATTCTGGAGCGCCGAAAGACGANCCCCCCCCCCCCCCATAATCCAAAATTTATGGTGTGGTAGGGGAAGAAATTAAAGTCTACCAATTCATTCTGGGGAGCGCAGAAAGACGAGCTTTACTGCAGACTAGTTTTGTTACATATTCGAGCTGTCAAAGGTGATTTGTAAAAGCCAACTTGAGTATTTCGGTCCTCCAGAAGATGAGTGAAGGCATTTTCATCTGTCGATTCACCTGGAGGTAGATGTCAATGTAATTAATGCGCATTCGCAAAAGCCTTACTGGGGAACAAGGATGAGCCTAGAGAAATTCGTAGAAGAATCGTAAGCAGTAGAAGCTCTCTTTTCCCAGTTTACACAATCCGTGTCTGATCAATTTATTGAGGACCTCAGTTAAAATGTGGTTGTATCAAGGCTTCTTGTAAAGACAGGCAGTGTAGATGAAGTCTTTCTTCTTTCCCATTGTGTTTAGGACACCGTTGCATCCATACACTGTGCCCTCAGGTAGATCCTCGACCTTAAACACTCGTGTTTTTAGTCTTTGACTGAACGAAATATGGAACTTCAAGGAAAGCGGAGTCGACGGAGCGGAAGTGTAAACCCTTTTCTAGCCGCTGAAATCTCTTCGACTCACCATTTTTCTTTTCTTTTGGAAACGTGGAGCGAGAATCGCATGCACTTTCTGCCACAAAAGTCCGTGACCAGTTTTTGGGAAGTACCTGGTTAAGCATTGCATTTTTGCAAGCCAAAGAATGATAGAGGAATGTTGACACTAACATTTTTCCTTTGATAATCGCGTCAGCCTCTACACTTTCTGGTGACTTTAGCCACTCCAGTGCTTTCTTCGCCCAGTCAACGCTCCATTCCTGGAAAATTACTCTCAAAGGTAGAGTCGAGCTACTCAGTAATCGATGAAACAGACCGTTTTGTTGCTGTACTTTGAATTGATTCTCTTGAAAGTCGTTTCCAATTCTTTCGGTAAGGGGGCCTCCGAGCCTTGTGGTACATTATGAGTCACTATCAAAGGCAGCTTCATGTACAGGCAGGCAACACGAATGGAATCTTCGTTTCCTTTCGGATTAACAATGAAGTTGCATCCGTATATAGAAAATTTTGGAAGATTGTTAATCTGAAAAACTAATTTTAGTGATCTTCTTCCGAAGGGCAAGGTCAGGTGTATGGAATGTCACAGAAGAGAAATAATCATCGATGATATCAGAGTTAATCTCGCTCACCTCTTTCTTTCTTTTCTCGAAAATGGGTCTGAGGATTAAGAGCAGTTGCTCCTCCAGCGATTTGTTATCTGCCTTCGGGAAAGACCTGTCAAAGTAGCGCATCCGTATAAAAAAAGATCATACGAAAATGCAAGCTCTAACTCTTTTCCTTTGACAATCACGTCAGCCTTCACACTTTCTTTTGAATTTAGCCATTCCAATGCTTTCTTTGCCCATTCGTTGCTCCATATCTGTGAACAGAGTGGTTCAAGTGATCTCAAGTTATTCGAGTAAAGTCATTGATAGACTGACCAGATCTTCGTTGTACTGCATATTCAGAGTCTTGAATGTCTGTTCTGCCGCTTCCGGCAGAGGGTTTTCCTGACCTGAAAAAGCAGCTTTTCTTATGACCTCGCGATGGTCTTAGCGAATGTGACTAACAATACTCGATAAGCGACTATTGAAACTTTACTCTGGTCAGGAGAACTCACCTTGGGAGACGACATTTCCTAAAATGCAAACCAGTGCAGTGAACACTACAAGCATTTTGAACGCGACACTTTTCTCTCTCCAGCCCTACCATTTATAGAAAATGATGGCGTACGTCAGCTGCAGCTGCTTCCACCTGTGAATACAATGTAATTCTGGAGCCTCTTCTGCAAGATCGATCGTGACCGTATTTGGTAAATGATTCCATTTGGCAGAATGGAGTCAGACAAGGTTGTAAGGTGCCCGGGTTTGAAAAAATTGCGTTCCCACCAATCTCCACCTGCGCTAGCTATAAAGTTGCCTGAAAATTCTTGGTTATTACAAGGTCGAAAAACCTATGCTATAAGTTGTCGAGAGTATAGTTAATCCTCGAAGAGGATTAGTGGGTTTCCGTGTTATGCGTAATCCCTCGGTACGGGAATATAGAAGGCACCGAAAGGAAGTACTTTCGAAGGTAACCTTTGAAGGAACCTACAAATAAGGAACACCTGATCGACCGTACATTCACAGCTACAGTGTAGTGTAATTCGAATCCGACTTCAAGAGACCGCAAAAAAGGAAAAGATTAGTTTGTTCACGAGGACCTTTACTGAACTCTTGCTAGCCATTACGGCGACAACCCATTCGCTCTTAGGTTAGAGAGCAACCTTTTCAATAGAGTTCTCCAGGATGCGAGTCATCTACCAGGATGTAACCAGCAGTTTCTTTGTTTGTGGTGAAATCACTGCTCTCTTTGTCGTCAACGTTTTTGGCATTATACTTCTGATGATGTTCGACGAACGGATCATTGGCACTAGAAGTAAAAAAAGAACGATTTTTTGTGCGATAGTTTCTAAGCAATCGCTATGACGACATTCCCTAGTTCTATAAATTCCCAAAAGCAGCTGGAACACGGTAATCGTCATCCATGTATAGGAGTTCCGATCCCAGCCGGCGCGTAGGATATCGCGCAGCTTGCCAATCACCACCTTCACCCTCTCTCATTAATATTCGGGTTCGTTTAAGCTCGAAGAGAGCGCAGGGTCTGAATTTCAACTATGGGGTCGTTACATGATTTCAGTGACATAATCAACAGTTGCGAGTTGGAAGTAATTTTCTGCGACAACGAGGCCCGCGCCGAGTCGTTTATCAGCAAAATAATTGCGGGAGAAATCAAAGGACCGAAGAAGCTGATACTTCTGAAATCGTCAGGAAAATTACCAAACGGCCCACACGACTCTATTTCTGATTTGGAGGTATGTGGGTGAAGATATTTCATATGTCTATCGCAACTTGTCAATGTCACATTAGTGTATTACTGCTCTTTAGTTCATAGTATTCATTCTCTTTTGAGAATGGAATTGCACCACCCTTCACAGCGGTTGGACGAGGAACTAATGGGGAGTTTTTTGCTGCAAAAAAGGTCTCATTTCCAGGTGTATTCATACGATTACATATATGCCATCGGAGAGAAAAACCAGATGCCGGTAGTTCCTCCCACACCGTCGTCAACCTACGTTATTTGTTTCACCAGTGGTACAACAGGTACATCTTGAAAAGATTATAGCAATTTCTTCATTTCATGCTTGAAATGACAGAAAACATTTCTAGTTATGTATTTAAAAATATTTTATTTTTTTGGGTATATTCCATATAGGGCGTAAATTGTGTAGGGATAAGTGGATTCATCGTGCCTGTATAGGGACAAGAAGATTTTTTTATGAGAATTCATAGCGCCCGAAAATCTACATGATACAGGTCTGAAGACGAATATACGGCGCACTCCATCAAGAAATCCAGAACGTTAATGGTCATAAACTCTGCATCAAAACCCAACCTTCCCGTTTTCAAATTTCTGTTACATTCTCGTTTTTCAATTCTTTTTTTTTCTGTTCTTGTTGTGATGAGGGAACAACCGGGAGTTTTCGTTCATTTCAGGTCAACCGAAAGGTGTTCAGCTGTCGCATCGGTCACTACTGGCCGCAGTAGCTGGCCTCTACGTTCAGTGGGTTCCGCCTCCGAATCGCTTCTATTTCGGAAGCGATGACGTCTATTTTAGCTTCCTGTCATTGGCACATATTTACGAACATCTGATGCAGGTGATCGATGGATTCAGCTAGTGCTCAGCCCGGATTTTCACTTGTTTTTATTATTTTTGTTTTTTCGTAAATCTCTTGGTAAGAGTTCAGCTGATAAGTTTCAGACATTTACTGTATACGTTGGTGGACGCATAGGTATCTACAGCGGTGACGTGTCGCGACTGCTGTCTGATATACAGGTACGGAAAGTGTGAGCTGTAATTGCACTTCAAACTTTTAAGCATTTAGCAAAATCGTGCAATGGCCTTCCAACTTATTTTTGTTTGCTCAAAAGCACAGAGGGTGTATGGAAACATGGGGTCATTACATAGGTGGGAATTACTACTACTAGGTTCAAAATTATCTCGAAAGAAGTAGAACACACTGGATTCTGGATTTTGGCCAGGAATGGGAGAACTGTCATTTTTCAAGCTTTTACTCTGTGCCCATTCATTTATCATGACGCTGCATTCAAGATAGGGGGTACCACTTCATTCTGGGTTGCTTCTGATTCCTAGGTTTCTAATTGGTACATGCCAGTCGTCAGTTTATCCTTGCTAGATTACCTGGAATTCTAGTAACCCACACCCATTACCCAGCTTTCATGCTTGGTATACTAGATTACTATACTATCTGTTTTTGAAACGCTCATATCATCCTGCTGCCAAAGGTTTGCATCTGAACAATTCGATTGCAGATTCTTCGGCCGACGATAGTGAGCTTGGTGCCAAGACTTCTAAACAAGTTCCATGATCATATTCATGTACAAATTTCGAAGCGGAATGTCCTTATTCGGAAGCTTTTTGCTCATGCAAAAGAGGTACTTATTCGTCACGGGAAGCCTCAGGCAACCCTAGTGGATGCAGTTCTTCTTTTAGGTGAAACTAAAGATGTTACGTGATGGAATTCAGCGATACGACACGATTTGGGACAAATTGGTGTTCAAAAAGGTACGTTTTATTCAATTCAATGATTTTTGCTGTTATCATGAAGTGCACATCCTCATGCTTTTGTTTAGTTCAAGAGGTAGAGGTTCCGAGAAAGGAAATCAAATTAATTCAACTGTGCGAACCTTCATAACAATATATTTTCCATGGTTGGGGAATGTTTATGGGTAAAGAGTCTGATAGAGTATATCAGCTGTAAATTAAATAGCAGTTATGACTAATAAACTTGACTGCGAAAGTTCCAGATTCATGAGCAATTCGGTGGTCGCCTACGAATGCTCACCACCGGTGGTGCTCCAGTCATTCCGGCCGTCATGGATTTCACCCGAATTGCTTACGGCTGCCCGCTGATGGAAGGGTATGAGTTTGAAGACGTTTAGTAAAGTATAAACTAGCATTGGAGTCGCTCAAGGAATACGGCTTTTTTCGTATCTTCATGTTTATTTATTTATTTATTTCTATTCTGATAACGTTTCATATTTTTTAATATTTTCCGCAGCGATTTTGTAATTTTCTTCCTCCTATGAAAACAGGATCACGCCTCAGTCATTGGAACGATTCATAACACAAGATCAAAGGCAGTACCTGGTTAATGGGGTCTGGATTTACGGGGAATACAAGCAAATTTCGAATGCTATCGATATTCGAGAGAGACGACCTGTAGCTTTTGTTCAACGGTGTATTCTCTAGCAGGGGATCAGCAAATCACTGAATTGTATACCCTCCTACGCGCACTATCCCAGACGAGTCTGCTACCCAGTTAGCTAATTAAGAGGTTTGAGAGGATTCACAGTAATCATCGGTTGTAGACCCAATCCCTGACTATACGTGTTGTTACGACCCTTTCTAACAGGACCTCACTAGCGCCCGCCTCATTTTTGGTTCCTCGTGGATTTCTGGCTATCACCAGTCAATAGTGTCATAGAGGGCTCCAATACAGTAATTCGAACTTCAATCTGTGTAATGATAATGCCACTTTTGACAGTTTGCAGATACGGCCAGACGGAATGTGGAGCTGCTGGCACAATAAATCTGCCATTCGACGGTAGCACTGGCCATGTGGGTGGTCCTGCACCCTGGTCGCAGGTCTGTTCTCACTTTAAGTAGTCGTGGGCCAGTCGAATTGACTTTGTTGTTCAGGTCAAATTGGTGGACGTGCCGGATATGAACTACTTTGCAGCTCAGGACAAGGGAGAAGTATGCTTCCGTGGAGCTGCAGTGATGAGCGGTTACTTCAAGGATGAAGAGCTTTCAAAAAAGACTATAGATGGGGAGGTACAGGATTGCTCTAGAATAAAATTAATGGGGAAGATCCAGCTAGAGAAGAGAAGTCTCGAAGCCAGGCTCTACAAACAGAACTCCTCCAGTAACTCAGCTTGTAGTACATACAGTCTAGTCAGGGAACTGACAGAATTACGTTTTCGTACGTGAATAAGGAGGCAGTTTTTTTACACACAGCGTTGCACTTTAGGTAATGCTTGTTTTGGAGAGTTTTGGTGAATTCCGTGTTTTTTCTCCCTCAGAAAGGTCAATATTTGCTTTATTCAAGATGAACTTGGAGTATGGAAGAGACTTTAAAGGGGACAGTAGACGGAACTGTTGGAAAGACTCAAACTTCTCTGGAATTGAAAGATCGGCCTTAGCCCGGAAAACGGAACAAGGGACGGCCGAGCGAGCCAACCAACTCCAAGCTCCATGCGAGGTACCACGCATGAGAGAATGAAGTTGGTTGGCTTCATCCCGGCACACATTTAATTGGGAGAAGTGGCGACAGTACATCAGGGGCTCCGCTCCTAAGCGGGGCAAACGCGGATAAACGGGAAGAACTCCTTCTAAGTTTCTGTTCAATCAAAGTGAGGGGGATCCGACACACAAAAATCTCTTTGACTCAAAACTTATATCTCAATGTTCTCTTTTCTGAAATACTTTCTTTTCAGGGTTGGCTTCATACTGGTGATATCGGTGAATGGCTGCCGAATGGAGCGCTCAAAATCATCGACCGTAAAAATGCTCTGTTCAAACTCGCCCAGGGAGATTTTGTATCCCCAGAACAAATTGAAGCTATTTATCTTAACTCGCCACTCATACAGCAGGTATGTGTTCTGTTGTGTTAGAGTGCAACCAAATGTGCTAGAGGAGAAAAAGAACAATATAGAATGATCTAGTGCCACACATAAAACTAAAGCGTCTAGCACCAGGCAGTCAAGACCAACTGTGCACTTTGGCTCCTACACGAGACATGGTAGAAGTCCTAGTGATGTCGGCATAAGAATGGTTTCTCACAAGTTTGACTGTTTGGGGCACTAGCTCATTGTCAGATCCATCTACCCGGCGACTTGGACTTCTCGACTATGAGAGGCTATTCATGTTCAGATTTTCATCACTGGAATGACTACACGATCGTTCCTTGTCGGGATTGCTGTGGTGAATATGGCGATTCTACGGTCAACAATCGCCGGACAACCAGAGGTGTGCTATCGTGGTTTTCGAATCCTTTTATCGCCTATAGGAATTATTCAAACCGTACTTTCAGCTTACTAAGTACCTCTCTCGAGCAGATGATGATTTCCTGTCCGAAGTGGATGTTCGACAGTTTGTGCTCAAGGAATTGAATAAGACCGCAAAAGCAATGAAAGTACAGACGATCGAGCTTATCAGGGACGTCTACCTGATATCTGAGGTAGCTCCAGAAAACCTCAGCTTGAAAACTTCCGCACCATTACTTCCATTTCAGGAATTCACTGCAGAAAATGGCTTCGTTACTCCAACTTTGAAGTTGAAACGTCACTTACTTAAACAGCGATTTGAAAAGGAAATCGAGAAAATGTATTTAGAAATACCTCAATTGTAGTTAGTTGTTCTGATTAAATCTTAGTCTTGGACTGTCTCCGACAAACGGGCTGAATCAGAAAACCACAAGCGAATGGCTCTTGTGTTGTCGTTCCAGCAAAAGAAACTATGCTCTATAGATCGAAATGAAAGCAAGGAACGCAGATTCGTCGCGGTGGTTTTTCCTCAGCGAGTTAGCCCTACTAAACCTCAATTCTCATCCTTTCTCACATTTGTCACGAACGGTGTCTTCGACCATTCCTCAGCGCCCAGCTTTCGTTTTGCGATCGGTCCCCTCCTTAGTAGGCGACCACCACCCAAAAAGGGGATACTCCGCAAAACGGCTTACCCGACTTCTGGCAATGGCTCCACCTAGCTCATCTCATCACCACACTCGTCCTGCGTCACCTTACCCTCAGTGCTTGCCCGTATCTCCTCTGTCAATGACGTATCTCATATTCTTTGAATGACAATGTTAAGATAAATGGCGGGGAGAAATGAACGGGGGTCACACCAGGACTATCCTTCCACAAGGTATTCTCCTCCAAATTGGTTTCACTCCAGAAGAATCGTAGAGAATTTTTTTTCGCTTCTGAGCTAGCAAACGGATTTCTCGCCGATACTATTCGAACACAGAAAAGAGCCAGGGAAACTTGTAGATCATCTCTTTGTAGCTAGCAAAGCAGTTCTGCAAAACGTCTGTTTCGGTGGTTTGACTGACAATCAAAAAGGCTAGTTCGGACGCTTATCGATTGATTGGATGTGTCTAGTTACTGCAAGAACCTAGTATTGTATGTATAGACAATGGGAAACTAATACTTTACTATAACTGTTATGATGGCCATTGGTCAACAACATCAGCCAAAACCGTGCAAAGCACATCGAAATGAACATTCAGCCGTGATCCAAGTTCTTACCGTGACCCAACTATCGCCTCTAACTGCAGCCCTAGTAGTCCTAGGCATGCCTCAGCCACCTACTATCAATACGAAGCAGTAGTAAGATTACGGTATGTTTTTGGATCCGCACCGTATATTCGTTCTTCTTGGATTGGCAGCTCATGAAGTCGGCTGTGAAGATACTAAAGTGAACCAGACAAAACAAAAAAGGGAAAGGAGAAATTAGCGTAAACCTTAGGGCCTGATATCATTCACAGAGCACATTTCCCTGGGACCCCTAAAGGGATCAGAGCGATAGCGTATTCCCCTAAAATAGTGGATGGGAATTCATGCCCGAACAGCGTGCAGCGGAATTTCGATAGTTTTGAGTGGAGCGCATAACTCACTAGTCAGAACTGAATGATCTCAAAGTGGTTTCAGTGGGTGATTACTGTTATTGCCGCGTGGGTATGTGCATGCGTGGGAATTCGGGCATAAATCCCGTCATCCACTAGAATAGGGAATTTTACAAGATGAAGAGGGTAAGATGGAAAGAGTTGAATCCATGGCAGATAAATAATCTTTATACAATGGTATACTACAGAATGTATTCCTGTAGTTAGAAATGACCATGGTGTGACATTAGTGAGAATATCGTCGCTCTCGAACATTATAGAGAAAACCGGCAAACTCGTCCATTTGAGCTATTCGTTTGTTATGGAGGAAGACGTTTGGATAGCGATCAAATAGTCGAGGACAATGATAGATGATCGGATTGAATAGACAGGCTACCAGAAGATCGCACCAGGTCATCTGAAAAATGGTTTTTCTGAACACGTAGATCTTACTGACAATGTGCCATCAATATTGGGTGATCCAGCGATAGTCGGAGCACAGAGCAGCAATCACCCAGAAAGCCCCCTCTCTCCCCACCCCTTCCCCGCATTCGAGACCTCCGAAAATCGCGCAGAATTTGCCAAGTTAGTTGAAGTTGTACGGTACAGGAGGGATGCTTGGACAAGATTTCAGTCGTGGGCAATTTCTTAAAGGATCGGCTGGAGCTCTGCTGCTAGAAACTGCTTACAACGACCGCCACAGTTCCGGGCTGGACGAAAAGTTGTGTGATATTTGCCCCGTTATGAATTAACTAAGCCGTTTTCAGCCTGACAACTTCCCATATGACATTTTCGGGAGCCAGAGATACTTCCCATTAGGCTTGGGTACAATGTTATTTGTGGAAGATGCTTTTTTAGATCAATCACAAAACTACAAAAAACCAAGCCTGGGTTTTTGAAATATGTATGTATGCACACACATAGATTTGGCTGTCCTAAAAATTTTTCGCTGAAGACCTTCAAACTCACTTTATGGGAAGAAATCCATGGCGTACTACTCCGTCGAAGAAGGTGTTCAATAGTAGGAAGTAAGCTTGATTCCAGATAAGCAATTGCGTCGTCGCCATCACATGTTTCCTGAATTACAAAGAAGGTGTTAAAACCTCAAATTTCGGCTCGTCTCTATAGACAACGGGTGTCAAGCGGACCGAAATCGGAGATCTCGGAAATCCGACGTTGAAATTTGTGTGTGGAAAGGGTGTGATTGCTAATATTATGCTTCGATGCTCACATCACATTCGTGGTCTTCTCGATGATCGAGATGATCCAACCAATTTTTGATTCGCATCCTCGCCTCATATGTTTTCTCGGCGATCATATCCACTTCCGAATCATCGTCGTATTTTTGTCCGCTGAGCTCTGAAATGATACTGACCTAAGCAGTTCTGTCAAGGTGCTCCAAAAGATTACTGTAACCCTTCACTCATGGGAAAGGAGATTTTTGAAGAGATATGTGTAGAAGTTCAAGCGAACTTACAATCGGCATCTTAAACCCGACTTTTTCATGCTAAGCTTGGCTGTCAGCTTGGCTGTGTGCTTTGCATTATAATTTCAATTTTATTTTTGACATAACTAATTCTATACAAAATGATTAATCCTTAAAGTTACTATCACAAATCACCGTGCAGGTAAACGTAAATGAGCTGGTATTAGATGAGAACATATGCAGCTCGTGTGGCTTTGGGTTACACCTATATGCCCATGAATTCGATTTAACCCAAGACGGTACTTACCGTATCTCCATCCCAGTTGCCGGCAAATTGATGGCACATTACCGAGTTTACGTTCGTTTACCTCCAGCATTGGTAAAGAATAGAATGGGTAATCTGAAAATACGGAGACGTTTATAAAGGAAGGTAAGGGGAGTTATCAGCTGTAAATTGCGAGGAAGCAAAAGAATTCTCAAGCACATCTATCCAGCTTTAAAAAGTCGATATTTCCAAAAGTTTTTCACAAGGCCTGAGTTACTTGAAAAATTATTTATTTTCCATGTAACAAAGTGACAACTCAGCAAGCTCAAAATTTTCGGGATTGATTACGGCAACCTAATGTGGCTCGAAAAAAGGCGGGTGATCACTGTTCCAGCGGTAACGAAGCAGTACAAAGAATTCAAGCAAAAAACGCGTAGAATGATGTTCTCCTCCCAACAGATAACCTTTAATTCTAAAACATAACCTAATCGTGATCTCTGCACTATCTGTTTAACCATGTGTACATTAAAAAGTGCGATGTCGCTTACACGGTAAAAAGGCTAAAAGGAGCGGTACCTTCCAGAATAAAATCATCGCGATTGATATCTTTACATTCAAGGTGACAGTTTAGAGACGGAAACGGTACAAGTGCTGGTTGAAGTCCAGTCCGAGGTCTACTATTTTGCCCATGGATAACCCTGTGAGCTCGTTACTACCTTCAATGTTTTCTTTTTTTATGGCAACGGTAGTTTAGTGACAAAGGCCATATTATCACAGAAGCAGGGTCCAGGGTTGGAATACAGGACCGGTAACCGCCCAATTCATCCAAGCCTTCTATCCCCCTTTCGTCGATTAATTGGAACCAGACTTATCAGGGACGATAGAAGGGCAAGGTAATGTGTAGGCAATGTTCACAGTCAGTCAATTTATTTACGCATCCAAGCGCTCACTACAATTCTGAATGGAAGTCGAATACGACGGCGCATCCCAACGCCTTCCGACTTCCATTTAGAACTGACGGGAGTGATTAACGATTGGACTAGTTGCCCGTCCTATTCTCATTTATATCTTATTTCAGACGGATTCAAATGCAAGGAACACTTCCTGAAATTAAGTGGCACTTCTCTTGCCCCCTTAGCCCCCTTTATATAATTTCTTCAACAGCGCGGCTTGTGACAGACAAGTTTTCCCTCCTAACGAGCAAAAAAAGAGGCGTCAGGACATTTGATACAACGATGTAGTCACTTGGGAAAAAAAGGGTAAAAGGAGCGGTACCTTCCAGAATAAAATCATCGCGATTGATATCTTTACATTCGTATGGCATTCGAGCATAAGTCAGAATCATTCGAATCACTTTTGATTCCTCTCCATCGCTAAAATCGTGTAACACAAAGTGTGGAATCCGGAAATCCATCTGAAAGTGAGGGCGGTGAACCATAAGATGAAATCAGAAGAAAAGTAAACAACAAAGAAGCTCGGCAGAACTTACCTGTTTTTCAAATTTCTGTGTGTTAGAACTGGCGACAACTCTTATATAACGATAATTTGCAGATTTCTGAAAAAAAGAACTCTGACGGAAAATTTTTTCAAAGAGGTTCACCTAAGTTAATCTCTGAAATTCCAAACGAGAGCACTGTAACATTCCAGGGCAGATCTATCAAGTATGTACTGTAATGTACTAGTAAATATGTACAATCAAACGTCTAAAACGCTGTCGATTCCATCTACCCTTTCACTTTCTCCTTCACACTTTTCTAATAAAAAATCACATCTGAAAGAGAAGTCGCTGAAGGTTGGCGATCCTACAAGTTTGTTTCAAAAAAAGGATGTATAAAGCGAATTAGAAAAAATAAAACAAATATAAGAATGACTAACAAAATGGTAAAAAATAAATAACAAAAGTAAATAATATATAATGCAGGCATGATGATTTTCATAATCGTGTAATTAATTGCAATAATCCGTACATTTTCCTTCGGAAAGTGAACAATATATTGTCTAAATAAGAAAAAATCGCATAGTAATTTACAAAATTTCTCTTCAGTAGTGTAATGATGTCTGTTTTGGTCCCAAATACCTGCAAGCTTACGTGCAACTGCTCGACAAGGGTTTTGGGTCATGGGTAATAGGCTAAAATAGGAAATCTCGAAGAAAATCACAGATTCTGTTCATCCACTGTGAAGCTATCATTGGACAGCAAGGTAAGCTAAGTTGAATAACACTCGACCAGGAGGTGGTGGAAGAAGAAAGTAAATGGTCCAAAGTGGATTGAAAAGAACGAACAAAATCAGCGCTCGATCAGAATTCGAAACTTCCGTGAAAAGATCATTTTCAGTCTTTGAGAAAATACAGAATGGGCACAAAACCACGTTCAGTGGTTGGAAAAGTATGCAGCAAGCATTACGATTGTTAAGGCCCATTCTTAAGGAACGTTCACTAGAAACCAGGGTCCCAACACATTCCTTACCTAGTTAGACATTTTTACCTTTTACTCTTAACATTCCACCCACCATGGTTACCTTCCATCGGATTGAGACGTTGCAGACCATTGAGACGAGGAAAAATGGTTAGTGTAAGATTGCTTGATAAATGCGATTGCAGACGGGTGGGGCACTCAGGGCGGCTCGCCATCTGGTCAGCTGTTGTCTTTTGCTCAGAAATTACTTTATATCCCTTCAAAAATTTACATGGCACTCGAATCACGGTTAATTTTTACTGCGATAACGGCGCCAAGAAGCATTTGCAAGAGCGAAGGTCTCTGTCTGAAGCTAGGGAGAGGGAATAGCTTCGAGGTGAGCGAACTACTCTACTGGAATGGTACCCTATGAGGATCACCCCCGATAAGTAGGAACTGTGTTTTCCTTGATGCTGCAACAGACGTAAACCTGGAATTCGCTGAATTACTTCGCCCATGTCTTTTGGAGGAAGAAGTCTCGCTCTCGACGTGAAACAAGCGTCGAGTATGGGGACCAATGCTGAATCTAACAATCGCCTCAAATATTTCGTACATCATTACAAAGCCCTTGGATATGGCGCATTCTGAACTTGTACCCTTCCCTTATTATTTTATTGAATCAGACTCGAATTCATATTTCATTCAATAAAAAACGCTAACAGTAGGGATAGCAACGGAAGAGACCACATATGAGTCATCTGGCTGTATTAATTCTCTGATGGCTGGTGATTCATGGTCAGCGAAATGAGCGAGACAACGTTTAGAGCATTGGCCATACATGATTTATCATCATGGTTCACATCTTATATTGTAGAAGAATTGATGGCGACTGAAAGGGAAGGAACACGCCAGAGTACAAGAACATCCAGCAAGACCTGTTTGGGAACTTCCAGGAGGAATNNNAAACAGGATATCAAATGAACAGATCATCAAAAGGGTGAGGGTGAGGCAGATGATGGAGAAGTGCGATCTGTTACGGTACCGGAAGCCACCGTCTTGGGTGCGGGGGAACTATCGAAAGAACGATTAGTAAATTGAGATCTGACATGGACTAAGGAGGTCAATAAGGATCACTTCAAGGTGCTGAAGGTAGAAAAAAACAAATCAATGTAGGAAGTGCTGAAAAGTGATAAATAATTAAAAATCATTGATAGTTATGTCGGACGGTGTCAAGTCGACGTGTGACCATAAACGCAAGCTCTAAAAAAATATGACTTTTTGTGACATTCCCCATCCCTTATATAGGATCAAATACAGACGACTGATCAAGAAGAGCGCAAACAGGCTCTGGTTCAGCACAGGAATCAGAGAAAAAGAGTGGTGGACCGCCTGGCGAATATGGGAGGCCCCAATGTAGGGACAGCCTACATTGTCGGCTACTGTAATGTGAGAGCCACACTATTGTATTGAATACTTGCCCGTTCTCTGTGATTACAGAGAGGGGAGCCAGGGAAAGTCCCACAATGTATTTAACCAGCTGTATTCACTAAGTGTGCTTAACAAGAGAACTGATGATTCATGCCTAACAATGAAAATACAGACATTGGAGAACGATCGTCAGGGCCAGTATGTTCGATTACAGTAATCTCAACTGCTAACATCATACTTGGTTTCTTTAATGCTAGAAAATTTGAAAATTCCATTCAAAAGCTTGACCCCTAGCTATCGAAGTGTACTCTTGGTCTAGTAAAACACCTAAGAAGCAGAGGCAATTCACACCATAGACTATGTTCTTTGTCGTGCCGACGCACGTCGCATGACTTCCGTTGAAAACCTTACGTCTGCTCAAGTATGGGTTTAGTTTTTACTATTACTGGGTGAGAAAAAGAATTTAGACTCTAGAGTTTCGTTTTCTCAGACAAGTTCTACCACCTTGCTGAATGGTCTGCCAGTCTAGCTTCCTCCTTTGGTGGTTAAAACTCTTGAAGAGTGAACTCTTGGCTAACACTGCGAAAATTGTATAGGTTGAGATATCCGGCACGGCAGTTTCGAGAACGAGTGATACAAGATGTTCCAAAAACGAGCCATAAAACAGTCGAAGTGAGGCCGAGAAACTCTGCTCCTTAAGGAAATGTAGAAGTCTATTTGACACTGCCTGAGATAAGGTCATCAATTCAAAGCCTATATGCAGGTACTATAACTTTATATTAGTCCTATCATCAGAAAGTATACCTCATTTGCCATAACCTGGACCACTTCCTCCAATGTCACCTGTCATCACATTGTACTGCATTATTGTATTCCATTCACTTAGGATGCCCATCCATCTTAAACCCCTGTGTTGAATAATTTGCAGCCACGGTAACAGTACGCCCAGTACTTCATGAAATCAGGATAAAGTTAAGGATAGCGACCTCAAAGGGATAGAAGGCATGGCTGGCCTGAGCGGTATCAAGCCATGATTTGATCCTCAGATCATGCATGTGAAATGAAAGGTCATTTGCCTGTTTACCAACTCAACCAAAGAACAAGATAGTCTAAAAATTGAATGGACACAATGTTGTTGACCCAGCCGGCCTGTCACATCTGTGGAAAAAGTTATGGGTGAAATACCAAGTTGTAAATTAGCTACTAACTAAAACATATCGATCACCTTCTGAGACTACTCGCTCGCTTCAGTAGGCGATCGTCGCGATCTCTAGTCCAGGAAGACATTCCCACATTACCCCAGTACAAGAGAGTAATCTCCCAAGAACAGTCTGATTTGAATCCACTTTTTGGAGTCAGTTTAGCTCATTTCATATGAGGTTGGCGTGGAAAAAGTTGATGGAATCGAGTAGCAGGGAAGTGCCCATTTGCGAGTGATTAAAAGCATCGCTCACTTCTTGGCGGACGATAGTGAGACTGGGTGGACAATGACTATGACAACTCTCATACAGTCAGATTGGAAGACTTCTGGAAGGGATTTCAGATCTACCCAGTTGGAGTTTGTTAAGTTATTACCTCAAGCTTACAATACAATTACTAGGCATTCCAATGCAAACACACCAAGCACTAAGAACGAACCACGAGTACAACCAGAAGGGGTGTTGGTGAAACAAAAGACGACAGTCGTTTGTAGGCGCAAGCCCGGTTGCGCTACACCAGAAACAAAGACTAGCATAGACGGAACAAATGAGGTAGAACAGGGGCTGTTTGTAGAATAACAGGAACCAATACTACCTAACGACTAACGACCGCTTCCAGAGTGACTTTCATAACCACCGAAGACGACGATTCGTACGAGGTGATAGGACGGAATGATGGACGTCCGAAGAAGTATTGCCGCCATAGCTCGGCATTTCTAAAAGACATCAACCTGAACAAAACTGACATTTGTTGACGTTTCGGTTTAGTCCCCCCGCTAGAAACTCGTCGAATGCGTCCGAGATTGATGGCATATGTAATCGGAAGTTAGTCGTCGACTTTTCTCTATTCGATGAAGGAAAGTAGAAAGACGAATTCATGGGTCAATTAAATCAGATTGAACCGAAGCACTTCCGAAAGAATCAGATGAAGAAGACGTTCCGGTTTGCACTCCATAATGGCTTCAAAAACTCCGCTCATAATTAAATGAAATATTAGCGAAATTATGAAGACGTATACGGTAACTCGTCGTTCCAGTTCGCTATGATTGTAATGTTCAGCCGTTACATTTAGAATACAAGTTTTTCTTTTGCTCTTGGAACTTACAAGCTATTACCTTGCCTTGATTAGAAAAACGAATTTCGTATTTCCCATACCCTTACCCGTCAAATAGTATTCGAAGAATCAGTGGACTGAGAGACCGATGGAATCTGGACTGAACTGATCCGGAAATTCAGCGAACTGTCCATTTAATGGAAAAAAATCTTCATTCAGCATGGCTAATTCCAAGGAAAGGGAAAAGGATCTAGCGTTTATTGAGCTGGCCTTGGTATGCGCCATGCATTTGATTTCTCCAAGTTTGGTTTTCCAGAAATACGACTTTACCTACGGTCAGTTGTAGCCCCTTAACACAATGTGAACCCCACAGATCCATACACCAGTCACCCACATTTGTCTGAAGGAATAATCGGCTCAAGAATGTAAGATATGATGCTGAAAGAAGCCGCAGGTGCGAAGAGAGCCGAAAAAAGGTGCAACAATTCCGGAAAATTTAGTCCTCTACATACAAGTTTGACTAGTTTTGCGAGAGGTGAGCACCCATTTCCACTTGTTTGCTTTCCTTCACCGCGCTTTGATGTTAGATCGGTACCGATTACATCTATTTGGAGTAACTCGTATTAACTAAGGTGAGTTCAGGAAAATTCGATTAGGGCCATGGTAATGCGGGAGTTTTACGCAGGGAGAATAGGAGGAAGAAGACACGGAAGCATCTACTACAAATGACCTCACC